CACGTGTCAGGGGTGGAAGAGTGGCCGCGGGCCACGTGTCAGGGGCGGAAAAATGGCCGCGGGCCACGTGTCAGGGGCGGAAAAATGGCCGCGGACCGTGTCACGGGAGGGAAAATGGCCGCGTATCCTGTTTGTACCCTGAGGCAGAGTTCGCAAACCGAAGCAAAATTTTGCGGCCGGAGCTGGTCGTAACCTGAAAAGTTCATTAACCGAAGCGTTCGTAACCCGAGGTTCCACTGTATATTTTCCAAAAATATTATCTATGAATCGACAGGTAAATTTTTGAATGTAATGCCAAAATCTCCATTATGTTATTGTTTATAAATGTTAAGGGAAACAAACACCCTTAAAAATAATATGGGTAAATAATTAACTTTCCCTTTCCTTTCCCTTTCCTTTCTGACTTTCCCTTTCTTTGTACTGAAATGAGCTTTTTTTGGGGGGGGGGTTCTCTCAGGTGCTGAAAATTCTGGAAAGATGGACCTAAGTGACAAAGATTTACTCCGGCATCAGGAAGTTCGAATTAAATCAGGTCTGGAAATGGCTGTGAAGCACAAAGATAAGCTGCTAGAGTATGACCAAACAAGGTATGTGGGAGAGTAATGTGGAAAAGGATGAATAGACCAACATTCCCCAGCTGAGGGCCCCCAAAACGTGTTGGACGTTGACTCCCTGATTTCCTGGCCCGCATAGTTGAGGCACCTGGTGGGCATCAAGGCGGCTAGTCTTGATGGAAATTGTGCCGGAAGGATTCACACCTACCGTTTCCATCCTCGGCCACCGAGCTTTGCTTTTGCATTTCCTATTTAAAGCAGCCACACAAGCACAGATGCTTCAGTTTTAACTCAGCAGGTTGCCTTTGATGGAAAAGCTGGAGGAGCTTCCCTGAAGAGAAGAGAAGCCTGCTGGGCGAATCATTAACAGTGAGAATCTGTGCTGGCTGGACTTGCCTTTTGGCAGGAGAACTCCAGCCGGGTGACGGGGTTTGTTAGAAGTGCTCAGGTACCTGAACCGAAGAAAAGAAAATACTTCTCGCTGTCAGCCCTGGCCCTGTTATTGGTCCATTATGGGTAAAATCTACTGCGCTTTGACTAGTCTTAAACATGAAAAGGGACAGCCATTGGTTCTGTTTCAGTGCCCAAGATAGGGATATTTACTCAATATTTCTATTTGCCCAATATAATCCCTTTGCTTTGGGTGCTGGAAAAGTTCTTCATGGAGGGCTCCAGTGAAAAGTTGGAGAGCCCTCATGTATCAAATCTGTGTTTGAAGTAGCCGTGGTCTGTTAGAAGAACACCTATTTTACATTCTGAAGGCCCCAATTTTAATCTCAGTTAAAGGGGTTGAGTAACAAGCGATGGGAAACCCCCCTGGGGAGATGCTGCCATTCAGAATACATAACACTGTAGAGGCCAAAATGGACCAGATGCTGACATGGTGCTCCTGGGAGTAATGGTGCTGCCCCTCTTCCATTCGGTTTGCCAGTGTGAGACGGACTCAAGTGATCGACGACGAGTCTGATTACTTTGCTACTGACTCCAACCAATGGCTGTCAAAGCAGGAGAGGCAGGTGCTGGAGAAGAGAGCGAAGGAGCTGCGTGAGCTGCGGCATGCCTCTCGGCTGTCCAGGAAGATCACCATTGACTTTGCTGGTCGGCAGATCCGGGAGGAACATGACAACCTGGCGGAATATCACAGCAAGTGAGGATCCTGGTGCAATGGCGGGGGGTGGTCGACTCAAGATCATGGTAGCAATAGGCAAGCCCTTCTGGAAATGGCGGATGCTCTTTGGGTGGGAGTGGGTGTGTTGGGAGGGGCTTAGCTTTTTTCCCCTGCTCCTCCTCCACTCCATGCATGCATGCATGCATTCATTCATTCATTCATTCATTCATGGATCCTGTTTAAGCATCCATGAATGGGTCTTCTGTGAAAGACTTTCTGAAGAATGTATGCCGAAAGGAAGGACTTGTGGCCCTCCAGATAGTGCTAAGCTATAGTTTTCTGCATCTCTCCCCGCTGGTCTGGGCCGGTAGAGATTGGTATTTCAGCAGCAGGTGGAAGCCTTCCTAATTTACAGCACACTTACATCTCTTTTACGTTCTGCAATGTCACAGTGAACTATGCAGACAACAAAGACTACACTCCTGCATTTGTAATAGGAAAAGATCAGCTGCCATGATGGATTTTTCTCTTTTATTAATTCATTCTGTTCAGGCAGGATAGTGAGCTTCCATAAAAGCTCCTGAGGGTTGTGGAAAGGCAAACTCAAAGTCTTAAGAGGGTTACTACTGACTTGCTAACCAAGGTAATTGAGGATAATATTAAATTATTGAATAAAGGTATTCTCAGTATATGCAACTCATTAAGAACATGTTTGCAAGAGAAGGGCATTTTAGGCTGTAGCTCTAGATATGAAGAGTGAAGAGAATATCACGGGAGTAAAGGCAAACTGGTTGGTTGTCTTTGCAGATTGGATGAAACAGTTGAAGCTATCAACAGCGGCACTTTGATCAAGGCAACGCAAAATCCAGACAGGAAAGTTGAAGAATTGGGAGTCTTGGTGAATCCACACATTCTCCAGCCAGCTCCTATGGTCAGCGTTCTTTCTTTTTCTTGCCTCCCCTAACCCCCCCCCCCAACAATCTAATATCTGCTTTTTCAGGAATAGATTTTGGAGATCATCATCCTGGGATTAGGATATTTTTTGTCCATAAAACATTTTTTCCGACCTATTTCTTTGGGCATCACCAACCTGTTGGCAGGGCTCACAAGTCATGCTAAGCTATAGCTGGTTGAATAAACCTCAGTGTCTGGGTTCACGTATCACACTGAGCCACAAATGCTAGTGGCAGGGTTTGCACAGTGTGCTTAGCTAAAACCAAGCAAGCCATATTGGGTGTGAAACCAATCAGAAGAGACATTTAACCTTTTGACGTTCTCCTTGGGTCCGTGTGTTGCATCTTAGTATAGTGTTTCTAGATCATTTTCCCACTGTAGTTCAACCAGAGAACACAAACGTAGATGGACTGTTTCAAGAGTGTCGTACTGGCAACCAGTCTCTTGTTTTCATGGCTAATTAGGTACCTTTAAGCCCCCCACAACAACTTTTGTTCTTTCTGCTCAGTTCGGCGACAGTAGTGAACACCAATGACATTTAAGCACAAGTCAAAAAGCTTATGCTTTCTGCTCCTATCTTTTCATTTTACAATTCTGGTTTAAGTATAAAAATGTTAGCTTTCTGTAATGTCTTGGTTTTTGTTCTCTTTTAAATTATATTGAAGTGGGTGGACCAGGCTGGTTTGCTCCCACACCGGAAAATGGACTTTTCTGCAGAGAGTGGCAAATACACGGATTTGGAAAGAGGTCGCTTACGGATTCAGGATCGAGAGATACAGGAGATTTCAGATGACGGCTGGTGTCTGAGCCTGCATCAGCCCTGGGCCTCCTTGCTGGTCAAAGGGATCAAGAGGTAAGCAGAGATCTGTCACCAGGAGCACTTTGAGTCTGGGTTCACGCATTACACAAAACCATGGTTTGCTTTATCCAAGATTTGTTTGAGTAAGCTTCTGGGGCAGGATTCGTACAACATTAAGCCATAAATGTGGTTTACCAACTGTAATTGCCAGTGTCTTACAACACGCTAAGCATAAGCCAAAGAAACCACTTTATGGCATAACATGTGAACCCACTCAGGTATGTTTTCTTTGGGGAAGTTGGGAGGCTGTAGTGAAGTAACTGCTGGATCTGCGTAGCACTGTTGTGTGGACAGAGAAGTTCCATTATTGTTTCAAGCTAAATCCTACATGTTTTCCCTCCGCTGGTTTCTGCTGCAGATGGGCCACTTGTGTGATGCTAGGTTTGCCCAACCACTATTGGAAATCAGGTCACTGCCATTTTAGAGGCTCACAAGCTTTAGAAAAAACCTGTTGGTGTTTCTTTAATTGGAGCTGCCTCCAATTGACTTAATAGGCTGTAGCTGCTTTCTTCTCATGTTTGCGAAGTGCGTGTGTTTCTCTTCTTCCCTCTGTGGCTTGTAAGCCCTCGGGATTGCCCTAACTTGTAAAAATATTCTTTGGGGGCTTAATTTTGAGCAAAGTTTTTTCACAGCTAAAGGCTGGAAGAATTGCGTCACAGGAGCATGTTTTCAATAACCGCTGGCAATTTTATGTTTTCTAAGGATGTTCGGGAATTGATTCTACCTTTTTTAACCTATTGGTCATTTTCCACAAAGTATGGCACACCCTTCTCCTAAAATTACGTCAGCTTACTTCACACTTAGAAGAAGGTTAGAATCAAATTTCAGGTGGGGACTATTGATGAGTCCAGAAATGCCTTGTGCTGCATCATTGCTAAAGTGGAGAGAGATGCTGAAAGGTTTGGGGGGGATAAGGGGCCAGAGTGCCATGAGCATTTTGGAAAAAGTGTGGAACAAATGAAGTATAACCCTATACAGGTAGTCCTCACTTAATTACCACAACTGGGACTGGCAACTCCATTGCTAACGACATGGTCATTAAGCAAAACATCATGTGACCGTGACAGACTTACGACATCAGGCAATCGTGACTGCAGGACACTGAAACACCTGCTGATTATGAAGCGCCCAAATTGCGCTCATGTGACTGTGGGGACTCTACGACTGTCATAAGTGCAAGGACCAGTTGTAAAGTTACTTTTTCAGCACCTTCATAACTTCAAATGGTCACTAAACAGGGCAGTTATTAACCAAGGACTACCTGTAGTCTAATTCCAGTCCTTAATGGGGGAGCCCAAACTGTACCATCCCTGCATAAAAGCAAGAGCTTTGGAAACACCCTGAACTTTAAAGAAATACAAAACATTGAGGGATGGATAAAGCCTCTGAAGGGAGGGAGAAGTTTCCTAAAACATCCCCCAAAAGAACCGCATACATTTTGTGGCCCTGGAACTGACTTCATACATTACATCAAGTCTTCATTGGTTTTAACTGTTTTTGTTAAGTAAGCCACAGTAATGAGGGTCACACCCAGTGGTAAGCCCTCAACCAAGATTTATAAGTGGCCGTGGCTCAGTTGATACAACACTCTGAGCAAAAGCAAACACACACTTATCACAGGGGATGAACGTAGTCTGTATGTAAAGGTGGGATGGGAAACTATGGAAAGTAAAGTGGCTGAAATCTTACACAGGAGGTGACCCTTCTGCACAGTCCAGTTCTAATTATGCCATCCGTCCTGTTTTCTCCTGAAACCTCCTGAAACTTCCAGTGTTTAATTTTAATCCATGTTTACGGCTATGCTAGCCTAAATATTTTAACCATTCTGATCCATACACCAGGTGGTGCTGTTTCCTGTCTCTCTAGCTGAAGAAAAAAAAACTGTGTGTGTGTTGAACATAGTTGTTGCATAGTTTAATCCTGCCTTTCCCCAACTTGATGCTTTCTAGATGTGTTGGATTATACTTCCCACCACTTTTATATAGGGGTAATAAGTGTAGCAATCCAATCCATGGGGTCAGGGGGCACCAAGTTTGGAAGGCTGAATGTAAAAAGCATTTGACTGGCAATCAGCTGATTGAAGGTGCAGTCATTTGCCACAGTTGTGACAAGGACTGTGTGAATGAGGACCCACTTTGGTATGTTGGGTGAGATATTATTGGACCCAGAGGCCAGAGGTGCCGTGTTTCAAATGGCTGGTTTGCTGTGAAACGAAATGTGTTATGTTGGGCACCTCCTTCTCAGTGTCTTTCACAGTTACAAAATGATAAAAATGGCTTGGCTGTATTTAGTGTTCTAAGCTCTTTAGAGAAAAGGGCTCAATACCGACATAACAGGTACATATAGACACAGTAATTCTCCCCTTGCTCCTTGCCCCAGAAGAAAATGACCATGAATGTAAGGCAATTCCCTCCCTCACCCCCTTAGCCTAGATTCTCAGGGATTTTTAAGATAACCCTCTTATTTTAGAGGTCATTTATTTGAAGTGAAAAGCCCAACCATCCCATCAGTTTTGCAGTAGTGAAAAGAGCATGCATCTATAAGTACATTTGGGCTTTGATTTTTATCTCTTTTACAAATTAAGCCCTGGACATCGCTCATTTCACTGGGTTTAGTTACACCCATACATGTATTGGCTGCCAAACCTTTCTTTCCTGGCTGTCTCATGACAGAGCTCTAAGCAGGGGGAAGAATTTTTCAAAGAACCTTTTTCCTAAAAAAAAAAAAAAAAAAAAGTTTCTTTCTAGCATTCTTTGGAAAGTGTGTGTAGAGAAACGTTAATTTCTGTTTAAAAAATGGGAAGATGTAAATCTCCTACCTGCTTGGAAGATCACAGTTCTTCTGCCAGTCTCATTGATTGTGAAGCTTTTTCAGGAATCTGCCCTTTTGTCATGGCCACTTCCTTTGTGTGCACGCTGTTGGCTGAGAGATTGCCCCGGAGTCGCATGTAGTGGCTTCCAAAATGTAATGAAAATGTCCTTTGAGTGATATGTAAAGTATCCCTTGGGAGGCTGGCTCTGTTTCTGATCCTTCCCCTTCCTTACACAGAGTGGAAGGCCGAATTTGGTACACATCACACAGAGGCCGGCTGTGGATAGCAGCCACAGCAAAAAGGCCTACCCTGCAGGAAATCTCTGAGCTGGAGGCCACCTACAGAGTGTTATTCCAGGAAGGTGAGCTTTATCCTTGATCTTTGTTGGGGTTCTTTTCTCTGGAGGCCAGAAGGGAGATGAAAAGAGGTGTGTTCGCAGCTCGTACGGTGAGATCCTCTGGAAGGAGAAGTGCTCAGAATGGTTCCAGCCAAAAACTTGTGCTGTTTTCCACAGGGCCATTCTTTATGCACTTGCTCTCTTTGCTCCTCCACCTTCTCGCTCCATTATCATGACGACATAACATTTCAATTTGACTATCCAGTTTGTGGAAAGGACCACACAAGGGAAACGGTTTCAAAACAAAATGGTGCCCATTTATACTTGCTTGAATTTGATAGTCTGTCAAGAATAATGAGTATGAAAATTAGGTTAAAAGGAGTATTAAGATAATCCTGTAGTTTGGCGATAAACCAGATCCTCTTTTTATTCTGTCCTTACTCCCTCCCTTACGCCTAGAGAACTACCTCATATTAGTTTTGATGATAATTAGGGTTCACACATTGCATTAAGCCTGGGTGGTTTAGCCATGGTTATATGAACCAGCTGTAATTTCGCTGGGTTTGTACAACACACTAAGCCACAAACTATGATTTGCAAAATACAGTAGGTGGGTTTGTGCAAAATGCTAATGAAAGAAAACACAATATGGTTTAGTGTGAAGATTATGAGAAAAGAAGATTTTGAGAAAAAGGTAGCCTCAGGCATAGGAAACAGGAAGGGAGAAAGAGCAGATATATGTGGATGTATGAATGTGTTACAGTTATTTATGTTATGTGAAGCCATGGATTATATAACTATGAATATTGACTGGTGTTATGCAATGTGTGAAACCACAAGCCACCATAGCAGGATGAAACTCAACTGATATCTTCTGGATTAGCTCATTGCATGACTCCAGCTAGTGTTCCTTTTTGAATTTATATAGTCTGACTGACAATTTTTCCAGAGCCCCGTTTTCTATCCTATTGGTCATTTCACCACACTTTTTTTATTTCTCAGTTCCCCTCAAGTACATATTGCGTGTTTCTCAAGACAGAAATCTTACCACATGCATCTGACAGTCAGATTGCATAAAAGGGGTTTCCCTGAGAGGGTGCTTCTTGGCCCTGAACAGGATCCTTAGAGCAGGGTTCCTCAACCTCAGCAACTTTAAGACGGGTGGACTTCAACTCCCAGAATTCTCCAGCTAGCCATGCTGGCTGGGG